ATAAATAGTAAATTAAATAAATAGAAATAAAACTGTTGTGATTTGCAGGGTTTGACAGATGTTTGTTCAGACAAAGCATGAGTGACTTTTAACCAGAGCTCCTGCTTTGTTTGTACAATTCTGATCAGCTTTTAAAAGAAATATTGCCCCTTTCTAAGTTGATTTTGACTTCCAATTTGATATTTCCTGGCTTTGTATGGTATGTGAATTCTAGCATATCCCTTCTTATGTATTAACTCACTCTATTCCTTTATCTCAGAGTAAAATCTCAATGGTTTTATTTGCAATGGAGTTAAGTCTAGGGTTAAGGCTATACATTTACAATTTCTTAGAACCATTGTTGTTATATCGTTATAAGTTTTTTGATTTGCTGAAGAATAATATTGACATGCAAGACAGAATTTTGACAACAGAAATAATTGTATGGAGAACACAATAGGTTCTCATCTGATAATGCATCTCATAATATGGGATATGGAAGGAATTGGAAACTTGGGTTATGTAGGAATATCTTTGCTGTATCATCACTTGTCACATCTGGGTTTTTAAAATTTCTGGTATATTGAAAATACTACAGCAGCTAGAACAGATGAGATATTGTGCAACAGAAGTTTAATTAAAAATATCATGGCAGACTTTATGTTAATTTGCTTATCTGTTGTCTTCATAAAATCTGAATTAATTAGTCCTTGCCATTAAACAAATGGCAATTTTATATTTTAAGAATTTTGAATAAGAATCTATCAATTGTACATTAAGTTTATGAATCATGAAAAAGTGGATGGAACTCTTCTGATCACACAGATTATGTTGTTTGAACAGACTTACTTAAATAAAAAATAGAAAGACTATCTCCACCTTTCTTCAATAAGTCTTAGATCCAAAATTAATAAACCCCAAATAAATTAGTAAATCAGAAGATAACCAATCACAATTTATAAACCTCAAAGATTTATTTCTCATACTTAAATATAAACCCAACTATATCATTTTTCAGGTTGAATCTATGACATTGGTTAAAATTTAGCATGATTGAGTTAGGAATAGTTACAAATTAAATACACACTTTGATAATTGGAGTATAGATTCCCATCGGTGTCTCCATTCTTTTAAAAAAAAACACAAAAAGTTTACATGTTTTAATTAACTTCAGAACTGTTGAAAATATGCTTCTGGAAATAAGGCTTGCGGTTAAAATCTTTCTTATAAGTTATATAAACAATCAAGGGATTAGGCATAAACAAAGTCTAACAATAATCCGAGAGTCCATCAAAAGAACAAGAGAACTCTTGACATTAGAGGGTATGAGCAAAGAACAAGATCCAGATCCATAAACAGGTGTCCTCTACTTACAACCACAATTGAGCCCAAAATTTATGTTGCTAGGTGAGACATTTATTAAGTAAGTTTTGCCCAATTTAACAACCTTTCTTGCCAGAGTTGTTAAGTGAATCACAGCAGGTCTTAAGTTAGTAACATAGTTATTAAGTGAATCTGGCTTCCCCATTGATTTTGCTTGTAAGAAGGTTACAAAAGATGATCACGTGATTCTGGACACTGCAACCATCAGAAATATCAGTCAATTGCTAAGCATTTGATTTTTCATCACGTGACTATGTGCATATTGTAAGGTCGTAAGTGTGAAAAATGATCATGAGTCACTTTTCAATAGCATTACAGTTTCGAACAGTCAATAAATGAACTGTTGTAAATTGAGGACTACTTGTAATTCATCTTAGAGTTAGGGGTCTATCAAATCCTTAACTCTAATAGATTTCTCTCTCTCTCTCTCTCTCTCTCTCTCTCTCTCTCTATCTATCTATCTATCTAGGAATAGAGATCTATCTAATCAAGGAATATAATGTACTGAGTTGTCTTTCAGGTTTTTTATTTATTTTAGAAGCTATAAATCACTCTTTACATAACTGCTTACAAAAATACCTCTAGAACAGAGGTGTCAAACTCACATCATCATGGTGGCATCACGTGATATATCAGAACTTTTTCCCCTTCGCTAAACCGGGCATGGGCATGGCTAGTGTGTGACACATCTGGCCCGCGGGCCGGGAGTTTGACAGCCCTGCTCTAGAATAACTTTAGAAATAATATTGACTCCCATATAAATAAATAATCCCATTTGGTATGCATTTTAGTGCTTGTCTGTCATATAACTGTCCATTGACAAGACCTCCAAAAATATAAGGGTATTTGTTGGTCAGATCTGGAGCTATAAGGTCCATAATGTCTCATTAGAGAATGTTTCTCGTCCCCCCTCACCCCGTGAGGTCATGGTACTTTCTATATAAAGCTTTATCTTTCTTGCCGAATTTGGGATTTGCTCACAAAGCATTGTTTCAACTTGTCATTTACTTTCTTGTTACTTGTTTCACCTGTTGAAAACACCTCATGAACAGTGAACAGGCAGTGCTTAGTCACCGCATTTAAATCAAAGGACAAGACTGTTTCTCTTGAAAGTGGGCAGAAATTGAAGTGAATTTCAGCTCATTATCCTTATTTTCATTGCAGAAATTATTCTTGCTAAACAACACAAAGCCAATTTTTAGTTAATAGACTTATTTGCCATGAGATACAAATCTGAATAATTTACTTTTCTTTGGTTTATTGGTTTATAGAATAAATCTCCTTTCTTCCAAGGAGAAGAAAGCTTCCTTTATCTATTGTAAGTCAAAATTCTTATTCATTGTCATCTTAAAGTTTAATTATTTTGTTGACTTGGATGCTTCCAATGTTTTCATTATATTACCAGTATATTGCTTGATTCTTGTTTGAAGTGTTGTAAGAGTTCTGTTTCTTGCACCGGATTGGGAATCAACAACTCTTTCCCAATTGAAGCTCCTATGTCCACAAAAAATTATTTATCTTGGAAGACAGACTCATGATGTTTTATATATACCACTAAGTTGCAAGCCAGGGTTTGTTTTGTTTTTTATTTTGAATTTAACCTATGATTAGGCTAATTATGCTTTGGTACCAAGTTTGAAAACACAGGGCAACAAAATAATTTAGTCTTTAAGCTGCTAAGATTTCCTGATTAAAAACAAAGGTATATCCTTAATTTGTGTAATATTTTAGACAGTAACTTAAACAGTTGAAGAAAATTAAAATAATTTCCCCACATTCTATATTACAAAGAACAATAAAACAAATACTACAAGACAGGATGGGAAGCAAAAAAAAAAGGTTAAACATTGAAAGAAAAAAAGAATCCTGACAGATATTGAGAATTAAAAAAAAAAACACACCTTGAAATGCATTTAGATGGGTATTTGGTTAGATAAACACTACAACTAACTTTAATATTGAACATATTATACATTTGAATTATAAATAACTACACAATTCAATGATAACAACCAAAATAATTATTGAAACATATTTACATTTAAAAACACATGGATCGGAATTGCACATTACAATTGATAACTATGTTTATGTACTAACCAAAGTCAACCATAATTTTTTACTGATTGAATGGAAGGACTTGGAAGTGAAAATAATTGAACAGGATTGAGCTGCCATAGAGGAGCAAAACATGATCCCTTCTTGATAATGCTTCTTTCAGGGAAGTTAACTACATTTTCAGTAGATGGCTTTACTACTTATGCAGATTTAACAGTTATTAAAAGAAGTTACAGGGATGTGGTGGCTCAGTGGCTAAGACGCTGAGCTTCTTGATCGAAAGGTTGGCAGTTAAGCAGTTCGAATCCCTAGTGCCACATAAAGGGGTGAGCTCCCGTTAGTTGCCCCAGCTTCTGCCAACCTAGCAGTTCGAAAGCATGTTAAAAATGCAAGTAGAAAAATAGGGACCACCTTTGGTGGGAAGATAACAGCGTTCTGTGCGCCTTTGGCGTTTAGTCATGCTGGCCACATGACCACGAAGACATCTTCGGACAGCACTGGCTCTTCGGCTTTGAAACGGAGATGAGCACCACCCCCTAAAGTCAGGAACAACTAGCACATATGTGCGAGGGGAACCTTTACCTAAAAGAAGTTAGTGGTACTTGTTTTAAAGAATGTGAAACCAGCTGCTTCTCCTAAGTTCTTGTGGTGTCCTTATAATTTTAATAAGAATAAACCAAATAAAAAAAGATCATAGACCATAATGTTCTCTTCAACCCAAAGTGATTTTCTATTGAATTTATATTGGGAAAAAACAGTTTATATTTATAAAGATATGGTTTGTTTCTTAATTTTAGCAAAGTATACACAATACATTTACTAGCGGCATCTTCTTTTATCTTAAAAAAGGGGGATCTTTTAAGAAGAAATTGTTTATGCAGTATTATGCACTATGTGCAAATTTTATGTTTTCTCCTCTCTGAGCAACAGCAACTGGATTATTGCTTTGTTTGTCGTCTCCCCCCAAAAAACTATCTAGATTTTAAACAGTATTTGACAATCTAAAGTCTATCTACTTATATTAGTGTATCTATTTAATTACACACAATGTAAATGGTTGCACAATGGTGAAATGGTTAAAGACAAGGAGTTTGTCAGTTGGAAAGCTGACTGCAGGTTTGAGACCCTGCTGCATGATGGTGTAAGCACCTGTTACTTGCCCCACTTCCTGCCAACCTAGCAGTTCGAAAGCATGCAAATGTGAGTAAATAAATAGGTACCACTTTGATGGGAAGGTAACAACTTCCATGCACCTCAGCATATAGTCATGCTGACTACATGACCACAGAAGTGTCTTGAACAATACTGGCTCCCTCGGCTAAGAAATGGAGATAAATCACTATCTCCTAGAATTGGACATGACATTGAAAACCTTTACCTTTATCTGAGTTGAACCCATTTTTGTGATATGAAATATTGGCCATACCTCTTCGCCTACTTAGGAAGTAGAAGGGTAAGGTTTGGACCAGATATTGCAAGTGTGGCTTTGCTTTTTCTTGAAAAAATCTTCTTGATTGAAGAGGATACTTGAAACAAAAAGAAAAAAATTATAAAATGCTTAATTTTTCTTCTATTTTTAGTTTGACCAATCCAGATTCTGCAACCTAGACCTTGTCCAAAATTTATGCCAGCTGGTATCTAAAAGAAAGAGATAATCATCTTGCAGAGGTAAGATTTTCTCCTCATTCCCTTTCATATATAGGTTACATGATTATTTAAAAACTGCAATTAAAATTATACTGAAACATGGAAATATACTACCAACTTTTTAAAGCAATTGCTGCCTTGTGAATAATTAAAGTGAAACTTGCCAATGGAGTTGATGCCTGCAAAGAACTGTGAATCAATTAAACTGTCAAAATATTGCTACTCAGTGGCCTCAAAGGAATTTTGCTCTTGAAGTGTGTATTTAAGGACAATTTTACTGTATTCCTGCATAATTAATAATTATTTCATATTCACCTTCCATGGTGATTTAAAAGATCAGCCTATACATGAGCATGATAATGTCTGAGTCTGAGGAAACAAGCATGCTCTAATATCCATGGGAAAAGCACTTTTCATCAATTATTCTTCACTGAACATCTCTGCTTGAGTTTGGATGTCACATTCCTTGCCTCAGTGTAAAACAAAATGAGGTTTACAGCTCTATAGGGATTCATAATGAAATCTTGTTTATGACAGTAAATGTCCAAAAGGAAATTAATTTGATGATCCCAAGTTAATTTATTGCAAGTTGTGATTCTTCAAATAGGATATAATGGTGATACGGTAATTAAAAGAATTATAATTGTTTTGCTTGATTTAATTTCTTAGCCTACATTTTTTTTTAATACTGTAAATATGGCAGACTATTGTCTACCTATTATCTACTATCACAATAGCCTTTTTTAAGGTAACATTCATTAAATACATTTGACTACAATTCTAAGAACTCACTGAATAATGACCTATTCAGTGATTCGCTATCCCAAAGGGTTGTATATGTCTAAATACATTTTTCAGACAGGTAAAGTATCTGTATGATAAAACTTGCCTCTGAAGGACATAATTGCCTATGAACTTTACCCTTTTAGGCATGGGATATTGATCTAGAATGTCCTATTAAATTGTGAAATATTCACTGTTATGTTCAAAGAAAATATTCACTAATTTATTAAGAATGGACTCATAAGGATCTATTAAAACTAAATATCTGAGTCATTCTGAGAAAACCTATTTCTATAGTCTTAAGAATTGGCACCAACCTGATGACACATAATCATCAATCATAGATCTGAGAAAAAAATAGACCTTGGTCTAAAGTCAAAAAAGGTATGAATAAAATCAGCCCACTAAGAAGTGTTTGACAAACAGCAATCATTATAATCTGGAGGTTGGTAGTGATAGCAGTGCAGACCTGTTGCAAAACAGTTCTACTTAACTGTGAGAGGCAGCACTCACTGGCTGAGATGAACAATAACAAAATGTATAAGGTGCTAAATATATTGGTTCTTAAATGCCTTCTATCTCCATGTTGGAGTCCATAATACTCCATTGCTACATATTTCAAGATGCTTTAAAAGGATGTCATTTGTGGCAATGTCCTAGGCAATATACCTAGGACATTCATCACACTGCCTGCTAATACAGTACATGTCTAAACCATTAGCATTATTTTTCCCCTGAAAAAGTACTATATATAATATTCTTGGTTCTGTTTATACCATTACTTGCCTACTAGATTCTTCCCTAGATTGTTTTTTTCAGGATGCATTAAGGTAATTGGTCTATCAACAGCCATTCATATTATTATTTTTTCTTTTTTTTCCAGGAAAAATTCCCTACCAGTTTGTTGGATTCAGGCAATTTAACAGCTGTTGGTGTGTGTTCAGTATGCTAGGATTTGCCCTGCTGGTGCAAACATCTACTGAATCTCAAGGAACCATTAGATACAAGGTTATCTTCATCATAGCCAATCTAGAAGTAATTATTGAAATAGTAGAGAGAATCCTAGTCATTTTTGTCGATTCTTATCAGGATACTGGCATGGCGACTGACTAGTTTGATATTGTAGAACCCTCAACAATTAACCACACTTAGGCAATATTAATCACAATATGTCACAGAAGCACTTTAAAGTAAAATTCAGAAATTATTTGGTGGTAGTAAATTTAATTTTCTAAGCAATACCCCCCAAATTGTCCAATCACTTTAATATTTATTTCTCATGTTATTTGTCTGTTCCCAATGTTGTATCTGTCTAAACCTGTTAGGAAATAGCATTCATGAATTTCATGCTAAAGATCAACTATATGCCAATTGTACTAAGCTATGCTTTTCCTTTCCTGCAAAACATCATAGTCTCTGTATGTCTTTAACTGTAAAGCTCTGACTCTGTGAAATAAGACACTGAATTAAAACAATATAGGTAATCCTTGTTTAACATCTGTCCATCAATAGTTCAAAATTACAGTAACACTGAATAAGGGGACAATCAGTCCTGAAAGCTATTTTAGGACCTCGAGGTCCTGGAAACAAAGTTCAGGCCCATTTGTGTCCACCCATAATTTACAACTATCTTTTAGCCACTAGCTGTCCCCATTGCCTGTCCCTGAGTGGAACATCATGCAGTCCTACTGTACCAACCAGGTCATCTCTTATGCCAGTACAACTTACTTTCTCATGGTCCACTCAGGGACTTTGTTCATGCCCTGCCTAGGGTCTACTTATAGATATTTGGCACATGAAAGAAGACTCTGGCTGTGCTGGCACGAAAAATGTTCGCTTTGCAGGGTCTTTGTAGATGCACATGGATAGGAGTGTCTTTACTTAAATTTATAAATATGTTGCACTGTGTTCTTGACTAGGAGTCCCTAATCTTATGCCTTAGTCACTTTGTATATGGACTGATGCAATGGACTTTATTTGGGGATGCCCTTGTAGACACTCGGAAACTGCAGCTGAGCTAGAATCCAATGGCTTAGGTAGTTTTGAGTGTACTTCAGTATGTCTTTGTGGTATGTATGAGCTGTACAGCTTGCAACTAAATTTCTGGCTGCAGTCTATTGTGCTGCTTGATGTCTATTAAGCTTTCATATCATAGGTCCTTAATAGGATTGTCTTTTTACCAGAGGTGGGTTTCAGCAAATTCTGACTAATTCTGGAGAACCGGTAGCAGAAATTTTGAGTAGTTCGGAGAACCTATAGTAAAAATTCTGACTGGCCCCGCTCCCATTTATTCTCTGCCTCCCAAGTCCCAGCTGATCGTGAGGAAATGGGGATTTTGCAATAACCTTCCCCTGGATTGGGGAGGGAATGGAGATTTTACAGTATCCATCCCCTGCCACGCCCACCAAGCCATGCCACGCCCACCAAGCCACACCCACAGAACCGGTAGTAAAAAAATTTGAAACCCACCACTGCGTTATACCATTGTTTTTGCCCATCTGCTAAGATCTGATGCTGCAGGTTCCATCTTAAAAGCATCTAATGGGACCTATGCCTTCTCTATCAGGGCACTTGCCGTCTGGAAGAGTTCTCTCAAGAGGCTCAAGTTTCTCCAGCCCTGCTGTTATTTAAATGACCCTTGAAAACATTTTTTTTTCTTTAGGCCCTAGATTAAATGGAGAATTTAATCTAAAACAACTAAGTCTTGTTGTTTACTTTTGGAACCATTGGAGAGTGGGAGGCTGTTACCACTTCTTGTTTGATTGTAAGTTTTTAATTTATAAACATCCAAAAAAAATATGAATTGGGCAGCTTTATAAAGTTATTTATAAATAAGCAAGCAAGGAAGGAAGCAAATAAATAAATGCACAAAGTTAGAGCATCACAAGTATTGATGGAAACTTTTTGAGGCACCACATTGCTCCTGTTTCAAACAACTGATTGCTTCCAATGCCTTAGCATGGTTGCTACATTACAATACACTATTGGCATGCCTTCTCAGTAGGGCACCTTTTTATAAGTAGTCCTTGAAATATGACTGGTCACTTAATGGTTTTTTTAACACCCTCCCTCCAAAAGCCATTTATGACCTCATTTCAAAGTTATGACTATTTTTTTTTATTGAAAAGTTTTATAGGAAATACAAACATTTTCTCCCCCCCCACCTTTCCCCTGTCAACCCCCTCCCCCCCTCTCTCCCACCCCGCCTTCCCCTCCTTCCCTCCCACCCGCCTCCCTAGACTTCCCAGAACAGGCACAGGGTATAGCATTCACAAACATAAAGCTAAAATATGCTAACAAATTATTGCATTCATATTCTCCCTAAATCTTTAACTCCTTATAACTCAAAAACTATATGAATCTTCTTGTTCGAATACTTTTTTTGTATATAGTCAATCCATCTTCTCCATTCTGATATGTATTTTTCATTTGAATGATCTTTAAGGTATGATGAAATTTTTGCCATCTCTGCCAAATGCACCACTTTTAGTGTCCATTCCTCAATGGTGGGTGGATCTTCCTTCTTCCAGTACTGTGCCACCAGTAACCTGGCAGCTGTTATTAAATTCAAAACCAACTTAGTCTTTATTACAGTACAATCTGTGACTATTCCCAACAGAAAAAACTGTGGTGTAAATTTAATTTTTTTCCTTAAAATATTTTGAATAATCCACCATATTTTTATCCAAAAAGCCTTAATTTTTTTACATGTCCACCATATATGAAAATATGTAGCATCTTCAAACTCACATCACCAACACTTAGGTTGTAAATTTGGATACATACAGGCTAGTTTTTTTGGGTCTAAATGCCATCTATAAAACATTTTGTAAAAATTTTCTCTTAAGTTTTGAGCTTGTGTGAATCTTACATTTCTAACCCATATCTGTTCCCATATATCCATCATTATTAGTTCACCTATGTTTTATGCCCATTTTATCATACAATCCTTGACTAGCTCTGTTTCCGAATCTATTTCCACTAATACATTATGCAACCTTTTTATATGCATTTGACCTTTATCTCTTATTTCCTTTATCAAATTCTCATCCTGCTGCAAAATACCAGTTTTTTGATCCTCTCTCCATCTGGCCTGCAGCTGACCATACTGAAACCAAGTCCTAATAATTCCTTCTTCTCTTAATTGCTCCATAGATTTTAATTGTAATCTGACTCCTTCCTTATAAAGGAGTTCCTTATATGTAAACTTATCTTGCTTTTGCTCCAAATTTATATTCTCTATCGCATGTCTGGGTACTGTCCATATTGGTAACTTATCCTTTAATTTATATTTATACTTTTTCCAGACACGCAGTAGAGCATTTCTTAATATGTGACTTTTAAAAGTCTTATCTACTTTCTTGTCATACAATAGATAAGCAAGCCAGCCGTAGACCAGACCGTATCCTTCAATATTCAGTATCTTTTCCTCCGTAAAATTTATCCAATCTGTAATTGCTGAGAGGGTAGCGGCTTCATAATACAGTCTTAAATTGGGCATTTTAAGACCACCTCTTTCTCGGGTGTCTTGCATTATCTTTTGATTAACTTGTGGTTTCTTCCCTGCCCACACAAACTTGTTTATGCCCTTCTGCCATCCCTTCAGATTTTCATCTTTTTTGAGTATAGGTATCATTTGAAAAAGAAATAAAAATTTTGATAAGATATTCATTTTTACAGCGGCTATCCTACCCAGCAAAGACAGTTGCAATTTTTTCCAATTTTCCATCTCTTTCTGTATTTTTTGCCATAACGGTTCATAACTATGTTGATATAATTTCGTATTTGCAGTCATAATATAAACCCCTAAATATTTAACCTTCTTAACTATTTCAAATCCTGTTAACCTTTCTATCTCTTCTTTCTGGCTTCTGTCCATATTTTTAGCTATTATCTTTGTTTTAGCTGTATTTATTTTAAAACCAGATACTTGTCCATATGAGCAGATTATATCCATCAAGGCTGTAATCGATTGTACCAGTTGGGCTAAGGTAACCACCAGGTCATCCGCAAATGCTCGTAGCTTATATTCATTCTGTCTAATTCTAATTCCCTTTATTATATCAGTCCCACGTATTTTATTTAATAAAATTTCCAGCGTCAAAATAAACAATAACGGAGACAAGGGACAACCTTGCCTTGTTCCTTTTTCTATATTAAAATTATCTGTTAAACCACCATTGATTATTATTTGCACTGTTTGTTTTTGATATATTGCCTTAATAGATTGTGTGAAATGTTCTCCAAATTTCATCCTTTTTATTAGTTTTAATAAAAATTGCCAATTCAATCTATCAAAAGCTTTTTCAGCATCCAAAAAAACTAGCACTGCGGGGATCTGGTTGTTCCTTCCCAAATACTCTAATAAATTAACAATTTGCCTTACATTACTTTTCATTTGTCTCCCATTTATAAAACCAGTTTGATCATGATGAATCATTTGCTGTATAACTGTCATTAATCTATTTGCTAAAATTTTAGCAAAAATTTTATAGTCTGTATTTAAAAGTGAAATTGGCCTATAGTTTTTAGGATCTGTATAGTCTTGCCCATCTTTTGGGATCAGCGAAATAAATGCTGTCTTCCAAGTTGGAGGTACCTCTCCTCCCTGTTGTATATTATTGAATAATTCCTTCAATGGTTCCACCATTTCCTCCTGTAAACTTTTATAATAAATAGCTGTCAAACCATCCGTTCCAGGAGCTTTACCCACTTTCAACTGCTTAATTGCAAACATAATTTCCTCGGAAGTTATCAATTGATTTAAGCTATCCCTCTGCTCTTTTGAAGTTATATAAATATTCTCTTTCTGCAGATATCTATCTGTATCTTGAATTTTATCACCTGTATACAGCCTTGAATAGAACTCTAAAAAAGCTTTTTTAATCAATTCTTGCTCATAAACCTCCTTACCCTTGTATTTTATTTTCTCTATTGTCCTTGCTTTCTGCTTTTTCCTTAACAAATATGCCAACCACCTGCCTGGTTTATTAGCGTTACAAAAAGTATTATGTTTTGCATATTGTAAATTGGTTGCCACTTGATCTGCTATTAACATATTAAACTGACTCTTCAATAAATTGATTGCCTCTTTAATTTTCTTATCTGTTGGGTTGGCTATTAAAGCCCGTTCCTGTTTATTAATCTCATCTTCTAATTCTTTTCTTTTTGCCCCGTTTCTTTCTATATTTATTATTCAAATATATCAAAAT